GAATGAACAAGGCTCAACTTTGCTGCGTCACTTCAAACTTATCAGTGCATTTAGAGCATCTCTATTACATACATTTTTATACAATGTCAGAGTTCTAACAGACCAAGTAGGAATATTTTGCAAGTTTATATTTAAGTACATACATATTTGAACTAATGATGGGCAGCATTTAAAATACAAAGCTTAAGTGATTTATGAAATTGTATGAAACTTCTTAGGGAGCATGAATTACCATTATTTTTTCCAGATAAATTCAAACTGTATCAGAAATTTGTTACTTGCATTAAGCTGTAAGTAATGAAGGAAAAAGTATTTGTACTGTAAAAATATGAATATGTAAATCCACATTTCTACTGATATTTACACTAGTTTCAGCACAGAAACAAGTAAGACCTAAACCAGACCTATTTCCAGACACTATAGCATTGAAAAATAATTTTGCTGAATTGAACAAGAAAAGTTGGCAAGTATTAATTTTTTTTATTCCCTCATAACAAGGCATGATCTCCTTTCTTTGTACTGATTCTTCAGAACATTCCCATCCAATTCTGTTGTATCCAAACCTTCTCAGCATCAGTTATTGCAAACTTGTTCTTCCCATGCACTTATTAAACTAATCTGACTGGCTCAGCAGAAGATTGCTTTCTCTTTTCCTCTTTTTCAGTCTGTGCTGCAAGATGGTCTGGTACATGCTTGTTTTTGTATTGCAGCAGATAAGAAGGGGCTGGTGGAAACAGCTTGGACATGTGTATTATGAGCTTTGCTTGGAGATGCATGTTGTCTGTAAAGGCGTATCAGCTTTTGATCAAAGGCTGCTATTTCCCTAATGTAACTGGAAACCTAATAGTAGTCAGAAAAAAAGAAAGATTACGTATCAGAAAACTGATGTGATGATTCTCCTTCATTTTAGACTTTACAAAGGGAAAAAGACTCCCCTTCTTCGGAAACATTCCATATGCTCAGACCCCCAAAGGTGTTGCTTTATTTTTTTATTCATTAGTTATTATTACATGCAGTATTATTCTACCACAAGAAGATACTTCTCCTCTGTCCACTTACTCTGATGAAATACTGCTCTAGCTTTCTCTCCAGTCTTCTAACATTCAAGTTTTTGCCAGGGACAGGTTTTTCATGACCAGCTCAAAACATCTTAGAGAAGAAGCTCATTGTTTTCTCAGGGAGGTTTCTCAGTGCTGCTGAGGTCAAGTTGTACTGAAGCTGTGCTTCTGTAGCTAAAATTGTTTCAGCGGTCCTAGGAAGGCCGAAAGCTCAAATCACTAGCAGGGCAGCCAGGCCCCTTTGGTGACCACACAGGGCAATTGTGAAATTGGTGTCATTTTAAGCTGTTTTTCTTGACCCAGACCCTCCTTATTCTCCCTGCTGCCGCTGTTTTATCATTCGGTAAGTGTCCAAAACTGGGCACGTGTTTAACATAATTATTATCTTTCTAACAGTTTAACTCTTTTTCAGACAGAAACATAGACAGAAATACCAAAATATCTAAGTAAGAATGTCTTCATCTGCTGCAAATCTAAGTCACAAGCACTTTGGAAATCAGGTTTTAGTCTGAAAAACAGTAAACTAAAAAAAAAAAAAAAAATCCTCCACAAAAATCTAAATTTCTTAAAGAACTATTCTCTGCTACTAGTTCTAATCAATAGTGTTTTGTTAATATCTTCTGTTAATAGCTTGATAATAAAACAATATCTTACCACACTTGGTATCCTGCACATATTTTGCAATGTTTCCTTAGGTGAACATACTTCTCAGTGCTCAGCTGTTTTGTACCCAGATCTGAATATTCTTTCATGCTGTATTTGCCAATATCTTTTTATTTCAGGCCAATTCACCAGAAGATCATTAGTGAATATTCTGAAATAAATTTCTTATTCTGACTTCCATTAGCCCTTTTATTGGTAGCTTATTGTTTCACATTTTAACCAACATCTAGGGTTCAGTTTCTGATTTTCTTATATCAGTATTTTCACTTTGAGAACAGATGCTTCAAGTGTGTCTGCTTAGGGCTTCTGGAAAACCAATCAACCGACCACTTCTCTGTTTTTTCTTTTCTATAACTGTATGTGGGTTTATGTTATGAACAATATATGTTTTGGTTTAATGTGTTTAGAAAAAATGCAACCAAATGCTTGTAAAGAAGAAATTATGAACACTAGTTGCTGATTAGAATCAAGCATTAAAAAATTAAAGATGCTAAACAAACAGTACTTGTGTAATATGTATGTACAAGGCATGATATTTTATGAAAATGCAGGCATAAGCAAATAGGCTTTTAAAAAGCATAATTTTTGCTAAGATAGACCGTTTTGTAATGACATTTTCTCTACTTGATATAGGGTGTTTTCATGTACATTACCAACAGACATGAATTTGGAAGACTTATTTCTACAGCCAATTACAATACCTCCCACTACAACAATGACCTCTGGCAGATATTTGAAAATCCTGTGGTATGCATCTAATTATTGATTAAAGAGTTATTTGAAAAAATTGTAAAGCTTATGTTATGTAAGGACTCAGAATTTAAAGACTTTACGTGGAGAACATTTGTTTATTATGCACTAAATATTGGTTGTGTACTAGAAGGTCTTCTCTACCACCTGTTTAAGCAAATAAGAATACATCTTGTCAACAAGCCAACTGATGACCAGAGCAAGGAGTTGGAGATATGGCCCTGATGTAACAGGTTTCATGATTTTTGACATGATGAGAACCAGTTCGTTTATGGGTATAAGAAATTGTTTAGTTTTTTCCAGTGCTTTCAGTAGAGAAAATCAATATAATATAAGTTATTTTTTGTCACTTAAAAATGTATTTGTTCTGTTTTAATATTTTTAAATAATTTTCTTTTAGGACTGGAAGGAAACTTACATAAATCCCAACTACTCAAAGATATTCACTGACAATATAGTAGAACAGGTGGGTTATAAATAATTTTCTTAAAATTTGTGGGACTGACTAAGTTGGTGGACAGTAACTATTTCCGTGCAAATGCTGTTTTGGTCTGTGGCTGAACAGCTTTTTGATATTTTGGACCAGAACTGAATGTTCGTCATTTTGAAAACTAGATGAGAGGTGTCCAAACAATAATTGCTACATTGTTCAGAATAATGTAGTTGTCCAACTAACTGCCTTCTGCAAAAACAGATGTTTTAATCTTACTTACTTGAGCTAGCCTGTACCACCAGTAGAAGGCCTAATAAAATTATTGTAGCAGTTTTCTAGTATCTAGTAAAGGCAAGCTCTTCTGGATACTTTCCTTGGGTTGTGCCTTTCCCTATGGATTCTCTAAGGTCTGACAACCATAAGTCCAAGGTGAAGCCTTGCTGGATATGAA